AGATTTCAATAAGCTTTATATGTATTAATGTTCTGATTTTAAATAAAAAAGTATAACAAATAGGAAAACATGATTGCAAACTACACTTTACTGCTGGCAGTTTCATTTGAGCCAGGCAAGCTATAGTTCAATTAGAATAAATTACTCTACATCTGTTCCAATCTGCTCACAAAATGATACAAATATGATTAGTTGATTTCTGTGATAAGCTAATATGTTTGGGGATTAATACATTTTCAAGTAGCAAGACAGATGACTGTAAGCCAAAATGTCAGAATTGGACATTAGGTAGACAGATCATATTGAATCTGTCTTGATATGCAACAAAGTTTAGGATGAACATTAAACTGTCTTAACAAAACATACTATGATAACCCTGAAATGGCCACTTTACTACTTTGAATGTATTAAGATAAAGGAATTCTAACAAGATTAAATGTTATCGATCTGTTAACATTCATATTCATACAACCTTTCAAAATTTCTGCCCAGCAGCTGGTGTTCTATATGTATACTGCAAGCAGCTACTTATTTTAAAATATGAAACAAAAATACTCACCTTAATTTCTAATGGTATTATATGATTGAGTTTGTGTGATAAACATTTTATTACTTGGCAAATAATAGAACTATTATGTACAAATATCATTTGTTGATAATTTGTGTTGTTGTTGGTCCACTCTTTATACTGCGAACTGATAAGAGTTAAATCCAATGTACCAGTCTCTGAATGCCAATTTACACAAGCTTAAAACTAGAAACAAACTATGGACACAATGTATTAGATGCTAAAATAATTATAAATACAAATAAAAAGGAAAACTGGATTCCAAGTGTTTGAATACCCATTGGCCATACTGAAATACACATTTTCAAGACAAACACAAAGATCTAAAATATTGCCTAACATCCAGTTTAGTAATCACAGAATGAGAGTTACGTATCTCAGACTTAACTGGGCAAACAATAATTAGCATAAAACGGTTCATTTCTATGGCACAGTTTTTGAATGCCCCTGCGCACCACTATAAAGTTCAAATGTTTCACCTGTTGATCGTTTTAATGTATTTCATAGAATTTATTATCCCGTGAGAAAGTGAAGAGATTAAAAGAATGTTATTAATTCTAATGTTGTTTTAAGTGGTAACCATTAAAAATAATTATTTGATTAGCAATCTAAGACCATGCCCTTTTCCCTGACGAAGATCAACACTCCAGCAGTAGGTCAGTGACCTGGCCTGGGAGAGAGTCTCCATTTTTATTGGTCGATGAAATTCCTCCCTCCCAATGAACAAGACATACTATTGTACTTGCAAGATCTCACTGCCCTTCAGGGATATGTCCGAGAGGTATTTTTTGTAGCCTTTCCAAACCCTGGCTGCCCAGCAGCCCTGTATTGGATAAAGCAGTTAGAAAATGAATGAGTTGGATTTTTGCCCCAGGGTCTTCAGCATAAATCTTTTTTTTTTTTGCAATGGCAAAAGGGAAAGGGGTATACAGTACTTGATCCTAACTAATTCCATTTAGTAGATGTTTCAGGAACCTGACCTTCTGTCTTCACGAGCCGTGTTGTGCCATCCAAACAGTCCAACCTCAACATCATGCTGAACTCTGAGACACTGGTGGGCTGCCTCCTCCAAGACACTCCGATCAAGGTGAAATCAAACCTGTTATTGGAAAGGAAGGCAATATCTGCTAAAACATCAAGAATTAGCTTACCTGGAAATGGTGATGCAGGTAAGGAAAGATGACTTCAGTAGGAATGCAGGACTATTTTGGGTGCCAATGTGTACAAGAAAAGTGGCGCCACTAACACTAGCTCTCAGTAAGAGAAACTATCAAGAAACAATTATGGGAGATCACTTATGGGCATGCACACAACTCCATAGGAATTCAGTCCTCAAAACATGCTTCATTACTGACGCTGCAGGTTTGTATTTATACAATACAGTAAAATAAACAAGCCTGTGAGGACCTAATGCAAAGAAACTGAGCAATTTACAAATTGAAACAGTATAAATGAGTTGTTCATAAAACTGCTGGAGGCCTACATATTTCTCTGAACAAAATAATTTAATAAAATGAGCTACATTTTAAAATGAAAAGGCATAGAAAGACATTTTTCTGATTTTTGAACCTCCTCTTTGTATCTTTTAGACACTGTTTATCACATGGTCTACTCTGATTTAGGCCACTCAGATTTGTGTCCAATCTATTGTGAACCTGCCTAATAAACATTCTCCACAGTCAGTGTGCCTACCACTGTGATAGAGACTGTACCTGACATGCTGTCCCAACAATTCACAATATGTTTAAAGAAATCACAAAACATCAAACAACCACACTGCTCTCAGAAGACATAATACAAGAATATTTATGGATTTCATCTAAATTTTATTAATCCTCTCATTAATATACAAATAATACAGTCTCCCTGTCACTGTCCTAAAATTTAACTCATAACAAGAATGTTGGCAAACAAATTTAGCCTTGCAGTGCTGTGGTAGGTTCCTTACTAATCTCCAGACTAAGAGAAACTTGAAAAATAAGCAAAAGCATCATTTAACACCACTTAACCGCAACAAAAATACTTATTTCACTAATCTAGAAATTTATTGAAAACAAAATGTAGAAATGATCTCTCAATTTTCAAGACAATAGGAAAAAACATAAAAAAAAACAAACCAAAGATAATTCCACATAAGAAGTGAACACAGGACAAGTTCAAAAACACCACAGTATATTTGTTTTTGGTTACTTTATCAATTGCTGCGAGCCTTGGGTTGGGTAAAGCTGACAAAACAAATTCAACAGTCCAATTTTGGTCCAACAACCATTGTGTTCCAGTGGTTTGATTGTCAAAAAACAATAGCTACCCTTACCTAAGTAAGGCAAAAAAAAAGTTCATTTATGAGCTTCTTCAGATCACTTCCAAAGTTGTTTTCATTAGTTAGATTTTTTTTTAATTACCATACTGTGCAGAGAAAAGGGTTTATTATCAAAGTACTGTTAAAACGAAAACCTACAGTAAGCTCTTTCACTGAGTTATTGGACACTGTAATGGTATTACTGTCAAACTTTTGTAGATTGTGAAAAACAAGCAATAAGTACTGTAACTAAATATTACAAAGGCAGAATGGGAACAGTTCCAGTTCTGCAGCCACACAGGCATGTTCAAATGCTGAAATGATATAGTGGATTAGCAAATACTGCCAGAAAATTAAATGTGCATTCCATATATATACACAATATCAGAACTCTCCAGAAGATTAAAAACAGATGATTCTGTAGGATGCACTGTAAAAATGCCCACAATAACCCCTCCTGTAAAATGGACATTTCACACAGTGGAGGAGTTTTTCAAATTTTTGATGTGATCACCCCTGGTTTCCTTGTCATTCTTGTGCTGTTCCTTAAATTCTTGTACATCACATCACTTCGTTTTAAACATGCACTATAATCTCTTTTTCTTATTCAACATTGCTCTTAATCTTTCATTACAGCTGCTAGCACACACTGCGGAATCTAAAAGGACGGCCCTGAACAATCAGTGACTGAATTGAACTGAACCCCTCTCTGCCCCAGACCTGTTTCTGAAGTGAGCCATTTCTATTCTTGATGCTCTAGGAAACCACTCAGTCAGTCCCAAATCACAGTAAGGGCTGAACACTTAATCTAAAACAAATTTTAAAATATCTTAAAATGTTTTTAAACAGATGCTAACACCTAAACCTACACATTAAAAAATAAAAAATAAAAAACAAAACATGGGGTAGGAGTCGGCTCAGTAATTTCAAGGAACTTTCATCAACGGAAAAGAAAGAAATAGTGGCTGTCCTACGGACTGGGAGTGGCTGGGCGTGTTACTTTATCCAAGAAAGCATGGCTCAATTAAAAAAAAGTAAGGGAAAGACGAGTCAAAATGTTACCGAGACCCTGCAAGCAAGGTCTTAAATATAGCTTAAATAACAGAAAATGAGATTTCTACAAAAATAAAGGTTATGAAATACGAGGTCCTGCTCCAAGAACTCCTCAAACACAAAGAGCACACATTCAACACAATCCTTCGATAGGGCGTGAGTGATCAGCACACAGTGGTTCCATTCCAATACACAGTGGTTAAAAGCCCTAGGGCTTTTGAACACTTTTAGCTCTCAACAATTCTCACAACTCATTTTCACCAAAATACTATATTGATCGTTTACATATGATATTGATATATATTTATATACTGTATATATATATAGATTCTCTTCCGATAATTTCTTAGATTTTTTTTCACATTTTTTTTTAGAAATACTGCGAATGTCTTCTCTTCTTCATCGAATGCTTAATATCACATGAGTATTAAAAAAAGGTGAAAAATTAAACTTTGTCTTTCAATTTGGGGATAGAAATCATGAAAAAGAACAGATCTGTGCTGGTCTGAAAAACCCAGGAAGCCGGCGGCTTCAGTTTTATAGGTTGCTGAACAGTTCGTTTTTCTTGCTCCAGTCCATCTGCGGCGCCCTCTTGTTGGAGCGCTTCTGATGCGCCCGCTCCTTGGCCTGCTGCAGAGACATGGTGAGGCTCAGCGCCGGGTCGCCTCCAGACTCCTTCTCCGCGGGCTTCACCTGGGTGCCGGAAAATAAAACCGCATTCTTTTAATTTTCTCGCCGAGCCCCTGAAAAATGGTTTATTCACTAGGAACAACGCCACCCACAAATTAAGCACACTGAAAGTCTTATATAGAGTGTTTCAGTCACAATAGCTTTGGCTGAACCCCATGGGCTGGGTCCACTGGACGAGGAAGATGGGACCCCCTGCAGAGTGAGGAGTGACCAAGGGGCGGCTGCACAGGTTGTTCAGGTTCAAGTTTGTCATTCCGGCCATATAAAGGAACACAGAGGAGCTAGATATTGTTCTCCAGGTCTACAGTGTGAATACAGACAAGACAATGCTGATGTAGATGGAGTGGTGGAGGGATGCAGAAGATGAATGTGAAGGAGAGAAGGGGAGAAAGTACAGTATTTATAAATATATACATTTATATGTATTCCTTTTTTATGTGAGGAAATGTCAGAAATGATTACAGATTACTAACAGGTGCGGTTGACTGAACCTGGCTGTTGTCATCTGTCCTGAACATTCATTTTAAAACTTCAGTCCAACACTTGAATAAGTAAAGGTTAAATCCACGTGAAAAATACAAAGGAGAAACAACGTTTTGGCTGTGGAATCTTCAAAAGGGTTACACAGCTGTAGAACCTTCTACAGGGGCTAATACACTGTTTTTTCTTTCTACTTTTCAGGATATTTTAACCTTTACTTGCTCTTTTGCAGCCAAAGTACACTCCCTGCTCGACCGTCGTTTGTGGGCACCTTCCAACACAACGATTTTGTCAGTCTTGGGACCAACTCATTTCATACTCTCCTCTTTTAGGTATTAAAAACTGGATCCTACACAGCAGGGTCCCCTGCACGAGTAAAAATATGATTACAATACGTACAAACAATGCATTATAAATACAATTATATAGTATAGGGAAGCAAAAGTTCACTACAAAAAGTTGACTTAAGAGCTCTGTTTTTTAGAGCACTACACCGTTGCTGGGTAGGCCAGTGTTAGAGGAACCACGGTCTGGGAACAAGAAACACTTAAAATGATCTAATTAATAAATGTGATTGAATGATCTGACTAATAACTTATTTTCAAAAAAGCAAAAATGTTCTTGGCTAGAAAAGATAACATTATTAGTAGTGTTGGCATTGTATCAGAGGTCTTCTCCCAGTGAACTCAAAGTGCTGTGCAGTGTAGTGCTGTGCTCTGGAAGCATCAGTGGGGGTATTTTACCACTTCGTATAGGGAGTGTCTGCAGAGCCACAGAGGGACAGCCCTCTGCCCCAGCCCTTGATTTTTAGTCCTAATTAGTTATTTTGGCCTGAAAATTTGTTTAATCCAAAAACAGCACAGATTCTTACCTCTGGGGTGGGTGTGCTGGCAGGGATCCCTGTGAGGGATGTGTTGGAGGAAGCGTTAGAAGACGTCGGGCTGACCGACACCTTGGGCTCTGGCTCCTTAGCCACCTTGCCATTGGCCTGGTCAAGAGGAGGATACAGGAAGCACAACAGGATATAAATGACAGTTTCGGTTTCCAGCTTGTGTTTAAAAAAATAAAATTGTTTTAGATGATATGAGACTTTTTTTGAGAAAAGAATGTACACAAGGATTTGTTGAGGTACTTTTCTGTCCAACGGGCAACGATCAAAGCAAGAAGATAAGCGGGGATCACACGGTCTACTCCAAAGGCAGTTATTAGACACCATCAACATTTCAGGCCTTCAGGCCTGATGACAGCATCTAATAAATTTGGTCTGGGTTGGAGACTGTAGGTCCTGTTCATCTCATTGCTCTGAGGTGACCACGGCAACAGCTCACAATTTGTATTCAAAGGTTTAGTGATGAACAAATACAATATTGAAATCACTTGATTGAACTCTCTTGGTTGAGGTGGCTCTTCGCCATGTGGAGTGGGTGCCAGGACCTCCCAAGCAGAGTGACCCGCTGGATTTAAAGAGCTCTGATGGAGGTCGCATGATAATGAACAGTAAACATGGAAAGGACTGATAAATGTTCCATACTGTATTTATTCCTGAGGGGCTTTGGAGTTTGGGATCATCTCCTCTTTTTAACAACCATTTCTAAGCATCATACTACGTCTTTCCATATATCAAGCAAGTCACAGGTATCAACAGAATTTGTTTTTGGATATTTTATTAGCCTGATTCAAAATATTATGCTTAGAAGCAAAAGTGGCACATTCAATGACAAAATCAAAACTTTGTATGTCTGTCCAAAAGGAGGGTGATGATGGCTCAATACAGAGAAACATACATAAAAATCCAGTGAAAAAAATACAGTAGTAAGTAAAAGGACGGTCAAGCCTGTTTCACTTGGCTGTGCACCTAGAAGAATTAATTGCCTGACCTTATGACATTGTCAGGTACTTCTAGTTAAGAAGGAAGATCTCCTTTGCCCTTACAATTGAAAGGGCTGTCCATCCATCCATTTCTAACTGCATTATCCAACAGGGGAGAGGGAGTCTATTCCGGCAAGCAAGAGGAGTCACAGATAGACACACGGAGACAAGCGTACACACTCACACCAGGGCTCGTTTTCCCAGAAGCCGTACCCACATGTAGTTGGACTGTGTGAGGAATCAAAACGCATGGACCAAATACTGGGAGACAACTGTAAAAATGCGGCAGCGGGAGGAGGTGCGTTGAGCATGGGTATGAGTGACGCCCCTTTTGATGGGGCGGGGGCACCGGTGTGAGGTTAGTGAGAACCGAAAGAAAACAAAAGAAAAAGAAAAATAGAAAATACGCCGTTAAGTACAGAAAGAGCAGCGTCCAGGCTGGACTTACCCTATCTAACGGGGTACTGCCTGGAAAAAGAACCAGACTGGGCTTGTCCTATTTAGCAGGGTCCAGCCTGGGAGAGCAGGAAGGGAAAGCGAGGCCAAAAAAATAAAATGTAAACATGGAAAAAAGGTAACTCTGCCCTGATATAGACACAGGATGGGAAAAATGGCCTCATGCTTGGGTACAATCCCCTCCAGGACTGCTGGTGTACTGATCCTGCCCTTCCGGGGGTAGCCCTGCTGGTCCTCTTCGACGGGGGGAGGGGGGGGGTGCTCAATGTGCCTTTAAACGGCTGCAGCTCATCTTTGATTAGTGGGTGCAGCTGTGATTCCAAAGGCAAGGCATCGCCCCTGCTCCAGGGCTCCGCCTCCACACTGAACATGCCCCTCATATGAAATATCACACCATACAAAATCCACACAGATAGCAACCTTGGTACAGAAATGAAACTTAGGCCCCAGCACTGCAAGGTAGCAATGCTAACCATTGAGCTTTAAATAACTAAAATACAAATTTAAGGGTCTCTTTGTCTCGCAACCTGCCAGAAGATAATGGAGATGCAAAGTTGAGCTGAAGCTGAGTTTATGGCCATTGTAAAACTGATAAAGAAGACTTCTCTTTCCAATGCTGAATCGAAAACAGATTTCCATGTGGAGACATGTGAGATGGGTACAAAGACTGTTTTGAAATCAGAAAAAGTTATTCTGATGGACCAGCTTGAACAAACCCCAACAGACAACAAAGAGAAAAAGTTATAATCAAATGAAGAAGTAATACCAGAATGGCAGAGCTAAAATTTAAAACAGATTAATAAAAAATGTACTTGATATATGTACCCCAACAAAAAGACCAAAAGTTTTCTTTTTCAAAAGACCAGGTATTTTGTAAAGCACTAAATCACATCTATTGTACCACTCTTCTTTATAGGCTAATGCACTGTTATACAACATAGCAGCTTAGTTTTAGCTACATCTGAACCTGGTTCTTAAAGTTATACTTACCCTTTCACACTATAATTTCACACATAACTGCAAGATTGGGTTAATTTTGAAATGGAACATCATGTACTGTATATATAGTTGTTGTGATTTTTCTAATGTTAATAACCTCATAGAGGAATTTAACAGGTTATTGCTGCTAGTTTTGTTACAATTTTTCTTTCAAAAAGGGGAAGAGTAAAAAGTATTATCAAAAAAATAAAAGCCTAGCTTGTGAATGATCAAGAAAACAGAACATTCAAGTCTGGTTTAGCAAATGACAGATGAAACACTAATGCGCTGAACCTTCTGGAAGCTGTTCTGACAGCATTACTCCACAAGGGGGAAGAGTGCCGTCAAAAACTGCTGCCAGGCAATTCAGCACATTACAACAGCTCTCTCACTTGAGCACCAACACTCAGCTGTGCACTACGGCGCAAACAGTGACCTTACATTTCACAAGCCTGCAAAAACAGCTTTGCAGTCCCACAGTTCTGAGAGTGGTGAGGCTTAATGGTTTTAATCCCATACAAAATCTGGAATTAAAGGGTCTCCAATCCCTCTATGACAAAACAGCACTCATCTTCTGCTCTCCTGCTGCTTGGACTACAGAGCCATTTGTAAAACCTTACATTAAGGACTAGCAGACTGTCAACTGCAACTACTGGTTAACCTCTGCTACAAAATGTTCTTCTGGGTCTTCTAAGCACATACTAGTTAGTCTTCCTTATAACAGACTCTGATATCATAGAATCAAGACAAACCAAAGTTTGGTCAAAGTTAAATTTGTACAGAAAAAAATCTATCTGGATTGTTTTTTGGAAATATTTGTCTATGACTACAGTATTTACCACATCCACTCAGTATGGAACAGTTTTCTCCTTTTAAATTCTATATTGTACTGTATATGGGGACTATATAAATATTAAATTATATAAGATTTACAAATAGTACTGTAAAATTCTTTGTCCTAAACACAAAATTAATTTGCCTTAACCTGAATTGTACTGTACATGCATACAATACGACATCACACAATCCGCTATCTTTACAAGTTGATTGTCAGCTGGACATTTTCACATTATTACAGTACAGTATTACATAATGAAATGCAAGGCCTTAGCATACAATCTGTTACAAAAGTGAATAAAAATGGTCTTACCATACAAGTTACAAAAGTGAATAAAAATGCCATTTGAAAATCTTAGTGGTTTTCACATGACAAAGTCTAATTACTTTATATAGTACTGAAGTGAACAATAAGGTACAAGAGAAAACACAGGTTTTTGCGCATGTAATGTGCAGTGTAAGCATAGTGCGAGATACACTGAACAACCGCTCAGTTGCCTTTAAATTATTGGATGTGCTGCATTTGACATTAACAGTCATAGGCTAGACATCTCTTGGACACTGCAGACTTGTGCATTTATTGGACATCCTTTCCCTTTTAGTTCATTATATTGAGCATTTCCTCATTTCCTGTATATACGGTATATATCATATCCATACAGTAAAGTGAAAACAATAAAGGCCTTTTTTCTGCACTTTATTTCTCAGATAAGAAGCAACTTAGTTCTGCTTTTTGAATGGGTATTGTTGAGCACCTTTGCAATTAAAAGATGAACAAAGTAAGGTGAGCGGTTTCTGCATGGGGAACAGGAAGAAAACTGCTGCTTACTCTTTGAAGGTGGTGGGGGTGGCTGGGTTGAAATTTGCAGAGTCATTAAAGTTAGTTAAATCTTTTTTCAATGTTCTGAAAAGAAATTCCAGTTCTATTCTACTTATTTTTCCATTGACATCATGTTTTTGGTAAACAAATTTGACTGTTGAAGATGTCTACAAGAATAAAGTATTTCTCAAGGTTGCAGTAGTGCAGCTGAGCACAACAGGCCCGTTAAAGAGAAAAACAACGTTTCCTCACAATGCCCCTGGGCCTGTTTCATAACTAATCCTTTCCTAATGAATTTAAAGGGACTTTTAATCTTTCACCACTAAGCACTCTTAAGAAAAGAGCTTTGTTTAGGCGACTGAGCCTAGTAGAAATGAAAATGTAATCTAGTATAGGCCAAATGTTCCTACGCATTGGACACAACTACCTCACTGAAACAACTGATTATGAGACCATCTTGTTTTGTGTATGAAAATATTTCAGAAGACTATGTCGCTGACCTCCCCTTCTTTACTTGTGGCCATCTCAAAACTAGCAACAAGCACATTAAGGAGTGCGAATACGCAATGTTCATGATGTCCAGCAGGCTGTGTGTATAAATAAGGCAGTCTGTTCTTGGCAAGAACTAAACAAAAGCTGAGGCCTGAGCTGTCTGAACCCCAAGACCTCAATGCTAACTGCGGTGCCATTTGGCTGGTGTTTGAGCGATAATATTGTGGCACACTGCTTTCCAGTATTCTGTATGTCGCAATTCTAAGGGGATTATATATTGAAATACCATTTAGGGATTAGGGAAATAAGGATTTGAGCAATGCAGCCTCAGTATCATTAACACTTTCATTACTTACAGGCAGAAGGTCAATTTTATTTTTTAAATTTCTTTGATTTTCATCTCTTAGTGCAATTATTTGCTCTACATTTTTGTGGGAAAATGAAAATCTTTAAAGACAGGTCTTTTGTTGGATTTGATATGTACAGGTTCTTGCAAATCAATATCAAAACATCTTAAAACTGCTGCAAATCAATTTGTCTTCACTGCAGTATGTAAAAATGCATTTTGGTACTTCATTAAACCATGATACTGCTATACTTCAAAAATACTTAAGGTTACTGGTATTGCACAATTGTTTAACATTACTAGAAGATTGTTTACCAACTTAATTCAAACCTGAACATTAACTTCAAACCTGCATAGACCAACAGACCTGAAAATAAAGCACAAAGTTTCTCTGCAGACAAGTAGAAAGGTGAATTTTTAACTACTATGACACACGAATAACTTTCTTGGTTACTGGAAGATCTGTTAGGAAGAACTGCTCTCCAGAGTGGTCTAAAATAGACAATGATAAACCCCGGCTTCAGCCACTGCTGTATATTTTGAATGGTGATGGCTGTCATGTTATTTGCATTTCAGTTGCCGTATCTGAGACTGGGAAAGTACCACTGTTCACCTGGTACCACAGTATACAAACAGTGCCTTTCAGTAGTGTAGAGGTACACAAAACAGAATAAAATCGTAAGGGCCAAATCTATCCTGACTCTGGTATGTGCTTGTTCATCATTCAGACAAATGTTTCTGTATCTAATCTTATCTAGAGAAAATTCACTCACAGACTCCCACTTCCCCACTGTTGGCAACTGGCAGGATTCCTTTTGACAGGTGCCAGCCCCACATTCACCCTGGGTTACCTGCTGTTAATTCCTAGGGATCATCCAGGCTTTACTGCTCCACAAACTGGGAACTGCAAGCCTCTTGCTTCAGTTACTAGCACGTATGGTAGGTGGGAGCACAACAGAAACACACTCAGATGTGCACTGGAATTTATATAATATTAGTCAGTCTTATGAAACAGATGTTGTATCTAACCTCTTATTTATCATTTGTACAACATGTACTGTATAGTTGGGTAATTGCAATGTAATCATATAAGAGTATGTTTGTAACTAAGTAGTCACGTAAGTTTTACAGGACACTAACTCCTACGTTTATGCAAAACCATAATTCAAGTCACCAAGACAGATAGGAATTTCAGTTGGGGAACCAAAGAGCATAACTGTTCTGCTAACTTAGTGTGAAAAAGGAATATAGCTAGGCTTCCTTGTGTTAAAGATAAATTACAATGAAATTTACATAATGAGACTCCACAATGAGGTGTCATTTTAAACCCATTAATCCAGTATTTCAAAGTTGAAGCACTGATTGGCTAGGGGTTGGGGTAACAGTTACCAAGGCAAACAAAAATCTGGGTAAAATTTTGAACTTCATGATAGAAGAGGTACTGGTGCTCAGGAATTGGTCTAGAGAAGAGCAACCAGATGACTTCCAGGTCTTTAAGGAATGTCCTACACTGACAGGCTGAAAGAACCAAACCATTTTAGTCTTTAACAAAGAAGACTACAAGTATCCTGATACAAGTATCCAAAATAGGATTCAAAAAGTATCCTCAAAAACACTGACAAAGTCAGTAGAGTGCATTTCTCCAGAATGAGGAGCGAAACACAAACCAGAGGGCACAAGTGGAAACTACTGTACGTGGAAATGTATTTAAAACCAAATATAGGAGGGACTTCTTTACCCAGAAAGGTTGTGGGATCATGGAACAAGCAAACCAGCCGTGTTGTTAAAGTCATTTCTTTCAAGACGTGGGCTAGACCTAACAGCATCCTCTTATTTGAAAATCTTCTTATGTAGTTAGCGTATGAAATTCAGAAAAAATATTTAGGCTTTAAATTCCAATAACTTCCACTGGACCTAGGTTAGCCATTAAAAATGGTCACATTAGTTTGGTGTTTTCTGGTCCAAAGAAGAATATAAAACAATACAGCACTGAAAGCAGCAAATATGCTACAGTCTATACTAGTGAGGAAACTGCTGCAGAATGGTTGCCATGCACCACCCAGTGCACTTCAGCGGTACATGAAGTGGGTCTCCTCCAGTATGCAAAGTGCTGCCTGGTTGAGTAAACACTGTCTAATCCAGATAAGACACACCCCAGAAAAGATTAAGAAGGTATGGAAGTGCGAGTTATTTGATTTAACCCTCTTATAGCTCCGTGATTAGCATTGCTGCCTCATAGCACTGGGGCCCTAGGCTCAATTTCTGCTGTGTTCGTGTGAGTTTCCTCAGGGTGTTCCAGTTTGTTCCCAAACTTGCCCTGGTGTGTTTGTACTGTATCCGTGTGTGCCCTGCGATGGACTGGGTTCAGTTGGGGTAAATCATCTTCCATTTATTTTCTCACATGCACAATTACTGTATGTTTCGATCAAGAATGGGTCTCCAATGTGGATAAAATAACCGTAACAGAATCCTTAAATACAGTTTATAGTAGTATTGCGTTATCTGTTCAGACTAACAACATGAGAGCATCCAACAGCTTTCATCTGTGGAAGCTTCAAGGCAGTGCAAATGGACTGCATATCTCGGAATGCGGACACAAGAACTCCCCAATGGCTTAAGAGCTGATGTAGTGGAACTCAAGGCCTGTTGCACTGCAATGGAATTTCTAATCTGCTGATAGAGTGCAAAAGAAACACAGAGACTTGGTCTTCTTCCTACCCCCCACATTTACTGTGCATGTTTCTCAGTCATGGCAAATGGCAAATAGGCATGAAGACTTATACACATCACTGTACATTCTTTTGGGCTTTTTGTGTTTTTAATCATTCTAGATACGGTAGTAAATTCCTCCTGCTTTCAGCTCTGATGTGAGGCCACAAAAGGACAAGTATACGTATTATACTGCAGATACTGCACACTGTTTTTTGCCATTTGTTTTTACTTTTCAGCATAGAATTAGTCTATTACAATAAATGTGATGCCAGTACCACTCGTATTCTAGCTAGCAGTCTCAGATCCACACTAAGTAAAATAAAATCTTACAGAGAATGCCACCCTGTCCACCATGTGACAACAGAAGATACCTTTCGAAGCCAGTATGGAATTTCAGGGGAGAAGTGGTTATCAGGAAACTTGGAGTGTCAGCCATGATGAACTGGTCATGAACTCTGGCATATAAGGAAAAAAAGTCTGTTGTTTGTGGATCCCCACCCCTGTTTTGAACAGTGCTGTTGCCCTCTGGGACCTCAGCAGCTTGTGTAATGTCCTCTTTCACAGGATGCCATCCCTGTCTTTGTTCCTCAACAGAACAAAGATTCAGCCTCAACTGGAACCTTCACACAGCACTAACAATAGGATATCTCTTTATAGATTAATGATAATTAACGGACAGAAAAAGAATCACTCGGCCTATTTATTCTGTGGATTAAACATTTTGAACAGAAGCTTTGTTCAAAATGTCCAGCAATATGGTTACCCTCCTGGGGACTGTGCCTGACATATACACAGCGCAATACTTCTTGCCTAGTTCACTTATTTGCTGTGACACTACATTTGAGAAGACACCCGGTAAACGGTTGAATCTCAACTCCTAGAACATCATTGTGCACATTGCTTCTTCCTTCATATTACTGAAATACTATGCCTAGCATGAATACAAACTATGCTACTGTACATAGACTCGTAGGGTTATAAGAATATTGTTTTTCTCTAATAAAGCAAAGCAACTAAATATTTGTAAAAGGAAAACAAAAAATATTTTATTCTGCAAAGTGTTTTATTAAATTGTCATGTGAAAGGATCGATGGTAATTTTGCAACTTACTTGAAACCCCAGCTCGTTAAATTTACCGGGAAATAAACCACATAGTACAGTCATGCGAATTTGAAGTGCTGTAGGCAGGTAATAGGCCTTGTTCATTATGTACTGTATGATATTTCCACCAGGACTGTCCCACAGTTTGTAGGATTGTTTCATAAATTCAATGTGAAAAATCAAACAAGCTCTTACCTTATCTTCAACATCTCCATTGACAACAGGCTCTGGCAAAGCTCCTGAAAGCAGACAGAATTTGGAAGTTAACACAACATATCACAGACACTACTGAAGAGACACAGCACAGATGACAAAAGATGGCAGTGGTTTAAAGTACACTAAACTAGAATAACTGAACAGCTATTCTGGTGAGAAAAACATGGGGTATATAGATTAGCTAGACTAGAAGACTGGAGGTTGTTAAATGCAGACTCCCTTTCAACAGCTCAGTTTTGCTCAATTTATTTAATACAGGAGTCTGTACAGACACATGACAGAAAAACAGACACTTAATAGTACTTCACATCAGATTCAGTACAATCCACTTTACATCCATATGCACTAATGTGAAAAATCAGCTATGTTTTGTTTTTTATGTAGCATGGGAAGATTTTCTTACAGGAAGTCTTGAATTATTTGAAACAGTTACCATTCTAAAGCAATTAAGTACTTTAAAGTTCATGGCTCCATATCAACAATCGATTCTAAACTCTTAACACAGAAATACTTGGGAATATTTTTAGAAAAGGTTAGTGTCTTCCCTTAGAATCCCTTTGTGTTAAGGAAAAAGACAGTGTAAGTAGCACATTCTTGTGCTCTGTGAGTAAAGGTTAAAATCAGTCTCTTAAAGAGTGACTTGACTCCGATTTATTACTTTATCACAAGAGCTGTGCTGGAGAATATAAAGAACTTATGTGCCATTTCTCAGGTGTCTCACATTTTACCTAATCCCTGAGGTATTTCCAGATCCCACTATTTTGTAACTGTTTTTTATAAAAACAAATATAAATATGATTTATTATTAGGCCACATGTGTTATGGAAGAAAAAAAAAGTCACATACACAGGTCTGAAGGCAAGCAGTCTTCCATAGTCCTAATCGTTAATGGCAGACACAGAAAAACAAATATCTTGCATGAACTAAAGTGTGGTTGAATGACATGCGAAGGTAAATCAAAGGAGAGGGAGTTTTATGGGTAAAAACCTCACGAGTCTGAAAGTCAACTTTTTTGCCACTGGGCACTAAAGGAGTACAGACGCAAAACACACAGGACCGCATCATCCTAGAAAACGGTAAAGAATTGCCCAAAGATCTGAGCTAAAAGATTATTGGCCTTAACAACTCCAGTGACAGTTTTAAAGAGATCATCATAACTTCCCATTTGGATTTCAGCATCCATCATCAAGAACTTCAAGACAAATGGGAACACTGCTGTTCCACCAGGAAGAGGACAACACTTTAACCAAATGTGAGGTAGGTCATGGCTTCGGTTTGGGAGGCTAGTTCACACTGGGAATACTGGCAACAACTGGGAATACTGCCATTCGAGGTTGACCTCATTAAGACTCTCATGGAGGCAGAGCTCCATGACAGCGTAAAACAAAAAGAGATGAATTTGCTACCGAATTACTCCTAAAGTCAAATGGTACCAAGTGTCTGGAACAAATACAAATTGATTTTTTTTTAATGAACCATAAAACTGGTTCATCCTGTCATGAAGTTCAAGATTTGTTACAAATCAGCTGGTAACTGGTGTTTACATATTCAACTTTTAGCTATATTTCATAGTTTTAGCTATAGTTCACAGGCCATTAGAAGATAATGTATCCTTAGATTTCAGCATTTGTTTTTAAAACTGTCAGACACCTTTAAATACATTTGTTTCATTGTGCTTTGCAAAACATGTTTCAATTTCTAATATGCTGCTTACTCTCTGCACTTTACAGGATCCTCACAAATGAAACTAGCGGCATTTAAATGCTTCAGTCAACCTACTAGACTCGTATCTGTTGCTAAAACTTCAGACAGAAATCTGGAAACCTCCAAAACTATATACAGTACGGGGAAAAAAGCCTCTTTCCATACATGGATTTGTATGCTGATAGATTTACCTCTTAATATAGGATTAAGTAAACTCAGAAGAAAGGAGGGCTTTGAGCTCGTAAAACCACTGACATTCGTCTACAAACCCTATTCCGATCTGTAGGATCAATAATAGGTAAGCGAAGTGTCTATGACTGGGAATGAAAGTTCCTTGAAAGGGCTGCTGTATTTTAGATACCCAACCTGCAGGACCTTAACAGCCAGACTTGGAAATATGGAAAGCAAAATAGGATCACAGGGCTGAAGCACTTAGTCCTACCTTCCATGCTTTTTTACCCCAGCCTCCCCAATCTTCCCAATCTGTTCCGGAGTAAACCTTGAATTCTTCAGTAAGATCAGTATCTCCCAATCTCAGTCTCCAGTGCCGACTCTTATTAGCTTCGTCAATGGAGAAAAGGGGCTCTTTAAGTTAAAGCACAGCTGGAAGCATAGGGTCCTTATTGCAAAGTGTCTTGGTAACCAAATACAAGTGCTGCTCTCATGTGTGCGAGGGACTGAATATAAAGCCAAGGCACTTTAAAAGCAGTTACCTGGAGACAAGGCGAAAGGAATTCCTCTCATATTAAGTCTTTGATATTCAGCCAAAACCTTCCACAATCTTAAGATTTAGCATGGACATTTGAAAGAAAAATGTAACCTGAGAGTGGTAATAGAAAACAGAAAGACAACTCATGTGATTGTGACTTAACACTCAAACACAATTCAAGAGCTTGCATTCATTTACCTGTAGGCTTTCTTTCTTTCTAGTTTTGTCTCTTTTTTTCCTCAAATCTAAAAGTTTGGACTTGCTGACCAGTGAAATCAAATCATTATTAACCAAAAAGGTCTGGAAAAAAAGATTTTCTCTTTTAAAGGATTACTTTCACATTATCACATGCAAGCAATTTAAAATAGTAAGGCCACAACCAAAATGGATCTTATGGAAGTCTGGTGTCAATCACAGTGAAATATAGGGGCCAATATTGTGAAGTTAATCACCCAATGTCAATTTGGAGAAGGCTAAAATTGATACTCCTTAAAGATAATGATGTGAAACCAATGGACAGAACCACATAGAAATAGTGTGTGTAATACTCCAGGGTGATAATACTCCAGGGTGTTAAGAGTACGATGTGTGCCTGTATACAAGTCTATAAACCCCGTCTTGTGCATCTTATGGTACTAATATGTGCTTACATTCTGGCAGGAAGTAATTAATAGACAATCCTTCTTTAAAGACTGCAACATTCCATTCTCTCCCTCTTTTTGTTTGCTTGACTTTCCCATTCAAAAAAAAATCTCACAGCCTTAACTATCGCAAAGAAAACAGTTTTATTAAACTGGAAAGCTAGAGACAGTGTTCCACAATGGCTAAATATTTTGATACATTACATTTCACTTTAAAATAGCATAATCACTGTAAATAATTTAATGGGACTTGGATAACACTGATTAGTTGAATGAATCTGCAGATGATTTAATTTCACATATTGTAAATACATAGTGATATTTTTGGAGCACAATTTGTACAAATAAGTACTCATGATTGCATTATATAATTGAATTTATCGAGCATTTAAGAAAATAAATGATGACAATGTTGTCCCAGACGCTAAAATGTAATTTCTAACATATCTTTTGTTCTGAACCAGTTTTAGTTGGCATAAATGAGTTACGCAGAAGTTGTTTTTCTCAATATTTTGGTTTTCTGAATAATCAGAAAAAATACGGTTAAAAATCTGGATATGTACACATTTTTCTGCTTGTGCTGTTTTGCCAAACCACAACCACCAATTTTAACTTCCATTAAGGCTGCACAGCCATGCATGTTGCAAAGAGCGGTAGAATTAATTTGCTCTTTTCATATGTACATTCATAAAGCAGCATTAAACTTGGTCTCACAAATTATGAACCTCGGCAGAAACTGACTGAAGCTCTAAAACATTGCTTAAATATATATTTTTTTTTTTTTACTTTTGACATCAACTGAGTGGCACCATGGCCACACTCTGCACTCCAGGTCTGGGTTCAATCCAAGACCTGGGACTCTTGTCTGTGTGGATGTCATTTTTTCTTCCCAAGTTTTTGCAAGACATGCAGGCTAAGTTTGACTAACTATTCTAAATTGTTCCTTTCTCTACAGATAGCACCCCAGGTCCAGAATTGAACCCAGGGTCCCAACACTGCAAGGCAGCAATGCTAACCCCTATGCTATTAAAGGGTTAAATTAAATGACTCTCTCCTCACTACCTTCTTTAAATTTTCTGGGGTAGAGGTGTCTAATCTGGATTAGACAGCATGTTTACTTAACCAAGCATCGTAGCCATAAATCCCCCTGGGAGAGGATAATTAAGTGGAATGGACATTTCTATCACTTTCATGCCCAGTAGAACTTTACTAACAGACTCCAAATGCACAGTGCAGTATTCTAGATAGAATCCTGTTAGCTGAGCAACGAAAAACTTGTCTTTTATCAATTTGTCTTTACAGTGCTATCCTCATCCTTAAGTATGCAGGTCATATGAGATACCTCTCCACTACAGCACAAATCTTATTTAATTGTTTTTCATGTGTATCATTGTGTGATGGAACAAAAAAGCAAAACCCCTACAAATAAAATCACCTGTTTTCCTTTCGTAACAGCAACTATGAAATGATTCATTTTAAATACCCTTTGGCAATGCCACATTGAAAAACATTTAATTTATGAAAGAGCCCTTTTATTTCCACAATCAGCTTGTGTGAGTTGAGCACACATGCTGTATGAAACAATCCCTGAACACACCAACTCTCCGCATTTGCTAATTGTAAAGCAAGGTCTTTCCTACAGATGTTGCATGCAAAAACTGCATAGAGGTTTAGCTGAACTTATGAAATTGACTACCCCAAGGTCCTTTGAGGTGAAGATTTATATGGTAATCCAGTCAACTGGTACCGTGCTGGATTTCAAGAAACCTTTGTGGTGTCACGTTACGCACTGAATGTTTTCATTGTTGAGGTACCTTAGGGAGCCTTGAGAAAGTGGTGCGTGTGTCGAAAACTGTTACTGTCCAGGAGAGCTGATCTCCATAGCTATTAAAGTGAAAAAAAAAAGTATTTCCTGTTGCACAATATTAGCAGATAGCCAAGACTGATGGCACTGAAAATGTTTACTTTAGCAGCCTTAAATAAGAGTATTGTCTTTACATAAACATTAAATATATATACACTAACAAATGCTTTCACCTTTTCTACAACAGGTTAAACCTTCAGTCAATTTATTTACATTTACAATCGAAACTTTAAGTACATGAGCAAACCTGCCAGTACCATTACTGTAATATCAGCTAGAAAGGTCCATTTACCCATACTCAATGTGTACACTTTAAATGTGCAGTTATTAATATCTGGCTCAAACACAGCACACAAACCCTTTTTATATCTCAAAGTTAGAAAAACCAAAAACACACAAGTTTGCTTTAAACAACTGCGTGATTCATAAGATGGAAAACGCCGATCTGAATTCTCTTTTGTCATCTCTCTATGACTTTTGTTTTTCCCCAATGCCAACTAAATAAACAGCTGCTTAACATTTAGCCTTTAAAAATTAAGTGGAGTGCAGTATGCAAACATATATTAAAGATATTCACATATAGTATATAGATGTATATAAAAAAGAACAATATTTTATTTAGGTGGGTAGCTGCGTCAGCATGCGTAGGCTGCAAAGGAACAAGTAATAGGTTTATTCCATGCTGAAAAAAAGAAGAAAGAGAACACAACGTTTCGGCCGTGGAGCCTTCTTCAGGTGTGCAACATGAAGAAGGCTCATGAAGGCACACCTGAAGAAGGCTCCACGGCCGAAACGTTGTGTTCTCTTTCTTCTTTTTTTCAGCATGGAATTAACCTATTACTTGTTCCAATATTTTATTTAGGCAAGTGTTGTTAATGTTTGTGATTGAGTAAGAACTCAAATGAGATACCCATCAGTGTATTTTCTTCCTTCTGAATTTACCATTTTATCTGCATACCTCCGAGAAGCGTAAGAGACACAAAGCATGATTATTTTTCAATCATCAATTGCAAGAATGAGAAACGAATAAGGCACACTTAACAGCAAAACTTGTTTTCCCTTTCGAAATATGTCACTGTTCAGAACCTTGAGCAGTAGAGATTCCACACCCCTGCGTTTCTATGGGCACAGGCCTTGCAAATCCCTTTAAGCTAAGATTACCGACTTTGAACCCAAGTCAGGAGCCAGCTACCTGCAGACGTTTAATTTTTAACTTACTCTGTCCCAAGCCGAGACAGGCTCCCTGTGTACAGAGCCGCCTGCTGAGAATACACCCAGACCAGTAGCTGCGGCAGAGGTGGCATTATGTGGGGGTGTGAGAGGCAACAGCCAAAAGAATGGTGCCCGTGTTAGAATGTCTTGACCCTGCCGAGAGAGAAACCAACCGCAGATTCCAGAGAACAGCCTCGCCTGTGAGAAGATCCGGGTTACTGTGAACTGCAAATAGGATTTGACACCGATATACAGTATCGTCTATAACTTACAGCAGAATACTCTGGTCCATTCTTTTAAAATACTGCACATGCTTCTACAGTACCATCACGCATGTCACAGGGCTTCTAGTGAATTATTTTTTTCTTACGTCTTGCAAATGGGCAATTCACTAAGGATTTACATATTTTATTCAACTATTTGTGTGCTTTATTTGCTACTTAAAGACTTGAAAAATGAACACGTAGACAACTGCGCTCCAGGAAGGTGCTCCTCTGTTTCTATCAATCTCCAGCGAGACAAACCCTCCTCCCGGTTCTATTAATTTGAGCAATGGTTTACTACCAGGATGAAACACCAGTGCTGTTAAAATTACATACTAAAGTTATACCTTGATATGATATAGCTTCAGGCTCAAATATGAGTAGACAACTTAGTACAGTACGCTTAGCTATTTGCGGGTCCCGGGTCTGACACAGACGTTCACACAGAAGACCAGCCTATGTCGTTTCTACACTGTGGTAAAGCTGGATGCGAGGTTAGATTCAGTGTTTGCTGCAAACGAGTCCATTGTTCTACCTGTAAGGTGGGCCTCTGCGGGGATGGTCTTGCACTTCTTGAAGAACGTGTCCGTGTCGGGGTCGACCACCAGGAGAGTCGTCTCTTCGCCGCCAGCTTTGATGGCCGCTACCACCTCTGCATGCTGCTTCCCCTCCATGGACAATCCATTCACCTGCACACATACGCACAAAGAGAGGTCTCAAGGCCTGTCGCTCGGGTCCAGCCACTCAACACAGGTCCGGAGGAATCGGACAGAGCAGCGCTTTCCTGCCCTGTTCCTCCTGATCCCTAGTTTTCACTCCAGCAAGACCAGGCGACTACATGGAACCCTTAAGTTAGCACAATTTCTTTGATTGTCTGAATTGTTTGCAGCTCAAAAACTACGGATGAAGCAAGATTTTATGAGAGGATAGGGTCTTATTTGCAAGAACATTTTTCATGAACATTTAAAATATACAGGAAAGGGAGTTATTTTTTTATATTTTTTAGATCTATAAAACCTAAAATCATTCACCTTCACAAGAACAGGAACCTAAGCAAATAGGATTAGTTTTTTTTTTTAAGATGACGGAAAACACGAGACCTTGCTTTTTCAGTTTTAGCACTGGAACACATGATCCCTATTTCTTGGGAGGAAGAACATTTTCCCCAAATGAATTCAATCACATGTGATTTGAGGGAAACCCAGTCTATGCCTCACCTCATGCAACAGATTTGTTTGATGCGTTAGGAAGTAAGAATCTTCGCATCTTCACTGGCCAGGAGCAGTCAAGGTCTCACTGGTACGGTCACAGTCACAACTGAAAGCACATTAGGGGCACCCAAATACGGCCTATCACAGGACACTGACAGAACTGTGCAAGCAGGTAGCAGGTACTGTACACCTTGAGTGCTTTTGTGACAGAGAGAATGAGAAGCAATCCAATCTGGATTCACCAATACAGTGGTGCATATCTATTTCTGTTCATTTTTATACTGCCTCTCCCAGATATCTGGGGGTTATTCCAGTGTATTTTGAGATATACTTAGAAAACAAGTCACTAGGGTTAAGGTCTGGAGGATATGATGGTCAAGCTGTGAGAACAATTAAAAACTGAAAACAAATCAAGCATATTGACAGGAGTAGAGGAAACACTTCCAAGGAAATACTGATTGAGTGGTACACCACCCCAGATGTTTTAGAATAGCCTCATTAAGTCTTATTACAGCAAAAGGATCAGTATATTCTTGAAGACTCAGAACACAAAATCTGAAATCTGCAGGTTTCTACTGTAGGAGATCACAACAAACTCAGCAGGTTTTAAAATCACAGTGAAGGGAAGTGTTGTTTGCAATGTTCATGAGTGGAATTTCTGAAAGCTTCCCACATTAATCAGTCCCTTTTCCTGAGCTTCAACATAGGAAACCTGGGAACACATTCTCTCAATGCTGATGAAATTAAGATGTATAAAAATAAACTACTTTCTCCATTATATGAGCTCCTAAATACACAGAAAGCTCATTATTATTAATCATTCAAATCTGACACAATGCTCCCCATGTAAGGAATGGAAACAACCATCTAACTGTATTTATATTAAGTCAGCAATAAGTGCTTAAGCTTTAGATTTGCTGTGGAGTCTTGGGTAAATTGCCATAGACATGGAGTCGAATGTGAAAAATGATCAGGCGTGCAGTTTGGAATTTCACTTTCACCCATGACTGGATGAATGATTTCCACAGAAGGCCAACACTCTAAGCCAGAGACTCAAACCCCTACACAGAGCTAAAGTGTACGTGGTTTCACAGGTCAGCAAAACCTCCCGGGAGCCGAAGAATTCTGTTCCCATTCTCCGATAGTGGAGTTCCTGCAGGAGGAAGAAGCTGTGAGGGCTTTAGAACTCCTATCAGGGAATAACATTCTCAGAACAACATTACAAAGGCAGCTGTACACACTCTTTGACTTCTTGCTTCTCAGCCATCTGTGTCTCTCTTATCCAGATAGGAATCAAATATTGGCTCACTCAGGAGCTACAAAGGATCTGCTCTGAGCGGGAGAAGCAATGCCTGAACAGAGAGCAAACTCAGGCAAACAAGAAGTCAGCCTGAGCAAATAAAAGCCGGCCATTGGCAAGGAACATGAGCTGATAAGAGTAAAAAATACTCCCTTCACCATGCTGTCCACAATCTTTCAGTCTTTGAAACATTAAGGCTTTGAAGTGAGAGAATGTGGTCTTCGAAACAATATTACATGAGGACTGCTATGTAGTATATTGAACCAGCACAACAAATACATTAAAAGGGCTTAGCATTGAATATGTGATTGAAGCAACAGTCCATCACGGGGCAAACAGAAGCAAACACACATGCTCTCATCAGCACCAATTTTCCCAGAAGTGAACACGACGATAACATATAAACTCCCATGTGGCGGCATGCTAACCAGTACACCACCATGCTGCCACCCCATGACCTCTATATAATCTGTAATTCCACAGTGACGTTACCTTTCCAGACATATAAATGCATTAGTACTTCCATTCATCCATGTTTCTAGCGGTGAAGACAACCAAAAGCAAATGTCTATAAAATACATGACTGGCAGGACTGCATATAAAGTACTGTTTTTCTTTTCCCGTAGTATTTAAAGTGAATTGCATGTGACACTATAATCAGTAATGCCATCCATCCATTTTCTTACAGCTTCATCCAACACAGAGCTGCAGGGGAGCCAGAGCCTATTCCAACAAGCAGTGGGCACAAGGCGGGATCGCCCAATACTGTCAAACCTACCACCACACCCCACGCCTACACTGCTGGTCTTATAGATGTGTTCCAACACATATCACTGCCTTCATGGAGCAGGCCTCAAACAGACCTTAGTTTAGCCCTTTGGAAGTGCAATGCCAGCTCAGAAAGGGGTATTCTTGTAGAAATAATAGGTAGGCTCCAGGCAAAAAGGAAATGGTCAGAAACTACAAACTGCCCTGCTATTTGCTGTCAATATTTAAAAAGGTAACCTTGTCTGTCTTCTGAAACTGCAGGCAAAGCCTGAGCCACTCAGCCAGGACCTCACAGCTGTGTGTCAGGAAACACACAGAGATATAGTGACAATCTAAAATTTGTGTCCGTCAGCCAAATTCTGTGTATGAAATTCCATGTTTTTTTTAAAAAAATCCTACATAAGGAAACAGTTGACCCCTAATGCCATGTGTTTGTTTAAAAAAGAAATCTCTGGGTAGAGTCCTGTTTGTTCTGCTTATTGTATTTATAGTATGTTTGTTTTCCAGGAATATATCACAGCTGGATATACTGTACAGTGTACACAAGTAATGCAGATGCCAGTAAACAGGATTACATGGGCCTGCTATTCTCTCATCTGCATTAGAAACTGAGAAATGAGGGCTTGTGAAAATCTGTAACTTAATTACTGTACATAAGCCTACTTTTTATATCAAACCTTTCTGAGTTTATGCACAAAATGCATGGCGAATTACAGTACATGAACCATTGCCTTCATCACTCTCAGCAGTGTTGTGTAACCTCAAAGCACGCACAGTACCAAACGCTGATGCGTGTAACATCAGTCCTTTCAAATTCCTATTGGAAGGCCAACAAAATCGTCAAACAAAGTGCCGACATCAGAAAATGAACAAACAAAACAAGCAAGAAACAAAAAAAAAAGCAGGCAAATCCTTAAACCCTACAGTGAAACCAAACTTGAGAGCAGAACTGGAGTAGACTATGAGGTAAACACAAATTAATGGTTATCATCATCTCATTAAATCTTTCACCTGCACTTTAATCATGACACAAAAACACACACATTGCTCAGCTGGTGCCTGTTGTGGACGCATGGCCTACTGAGAAGGATGCTGCTTCACCACTTGAAAAGGAGGCAGTGCATAAAAGTGCCAAATTAATGCTACCAGCCTTTGGGCCAGCAGGCTGTGAAACTGCTCTAAAGCACATGCCCACTCTCTGAGCCACACAATACACTGCACTGCTAACAGCTCAGGAGTAGATGCACTTACTGTACAATAAAACCTGCAGTAATCAGTATTTGTTCATTCTCAGCCCAGCCTTTTTGTCAAACACAAGATGATCTGGAAAGTTAAAAAACACAGAGTTATTTCCACCGTGACCCTTCCAGGGCTAATGAAATGGGCAGTCTGCTCACAAGGAAAGGAACCCAGGATGTGCCATGCAGAGAAGCTACTTGCTCATACAGTAGCTCTCATTTTACTAAAATGTAAGAAATGTCTTGGACCTGTACCAAAAGAAATGAAGGTGGTCTAAGGTCAATGGCATGCCACGTCATTGTTCTCTTCTTAAGGGATCATTCTTAGAAACCAACCAATTATTTTATAACATAGCTTTGGTTTTGTAACCCCACAAACAAGCATGCATTATAAAGATGAATAAATAGAACTAATCCTGGTCACTCCAAGGTTCAGCATTTCCCAGAATTGGCAGTTAATTTTGTTATCTTGTATGATTTTGTAAAAAAAAAAATACTTAAGGAATATGCAGAAGATTTCCTAAACAACGCAGAAATGACAATGTAAAAAATCATTTCCGCATAAACACTGCAACACTAAAGAACACAAAAGGACGAGGTCAGTGGGGAAAAAAAGCTCACTAAATGAATGACAGACTGAAAAGCTATAGTCTTATAAATGAGTTATGATTGAGTCCGTCACCTAGGTAACTTAAAACTTAAGTCACTGCGTGCTGTAAAGGGTCAAGGTTAACAAAAAAGAAAATTTACTGTATAACTATCAGTTGCAAAATACCAAAACAAAAAGAAACACATCAGTCAGCAACCTGAAAACGCATTTGGATAGTAAAATTGTGTTCTTCCAGGCTTAAGAAACTGAATTTTCTTAATCTTCAAGAAAGAAAAGTACTGAGCACCTGATTCAAGCATCCAACATATTCAAGGGCACCCAATGATGTTTTCAGAATCAACATTGAAATACAAACCAGAAAACATGGGGAAACTACAGAGACGTTAATTTAAATCACAGAGCAGGAGGCACATTCTCCACAGTGGATTGAAAGATTCACTCCCCAGGAAACAAGAATGACTTCCTCAGATTAATTAGCCCCTAACAACTAAATGAGAAAGAAGGAATAAACATCTTCTTAAAACCTTTCTTGTGTTATTATGACATGACTGGAAATTCCTATGAGACACCTGACTTAGTATCTTTCAGTTGTGGTTTAGAAATATATCCTGTGAGTGAACAAAAATGGGTCAAATATCTTTCATACCCACTTTCATTTCTTAACTGCTCCCAGTCCTGTTACATCTATTCTTCCGGTTGCCTTTTCTTCCGATTTGTTTTCTTCTGCCGTGCTAACAAAATGTCTCCAAATGAAATAAAAGCTTTTTAAAAGACTAACCACGGAGGAGTTTTATCAGAAACAATTCAGCACTGTAAAACGTCTACAAATTCTGTAGGGCCAACTTGATTTAATTAAATGTCTGCATTATTTAAAGAAATGTACAAGAAAAACACAGGCCAGTGTTTTGGCATACAGCAGCAACTCATCTACTAGTTTAACTTTTGAAGGGTTACAAAAATTCACATATTAGAGCCATTTTTTTACCATGCTGCTGTAATGGAAACAAACTTTAACCTTAAACGTTTGTATTCATACGTGTACCCAGAATTGTGAATAATTAGGATGTGGACTCTTGAAAGTCAGGTGTGTATAATAAATACATCAGCAGCTACTTAAAGGGGACAACCTGCAATGCTATTTTTCAGCACTGAAGGGTACATTTAAAATCACAATAAAAGTAAAATGTACACAGTAACTTGTTAAACCACCAATTCACTTTACAAAATAGATGAAATATCCAGGTATGGGCATATTCTGCAATTCAAAATGAGGCTTATGTAAATAAGCGGGCTTGTGAAAACATCTCTTTAATCCAAAAGAAATATTGCTGTCGACTTTGAGACACTTTTGCTGATAAATGGAACTTGTTACGTCTGTATGCAGATCAGCTTGGAAACTTTATGCTGTGAAATATCTGCTGCTTAAATTGTACTGATAAGCTTGTACAGCACATTACATCAGTCATTATGGTAAACAAAGGGACTTAAAGTACTTTCACCAAGTTCTCCATTTTGTGCTTAATTCTAAATTTCTAAGTTTTTTTCTATATGTCCCTGCCCTGCACTCCATTGCAACTCCTGTAAAATGCTGAAGCCTTTGATAGATCAGAAGATGCCCTTTGCCAGTAGCATTAGCTCAGCTTCAGGTCACTTTTATGTCATCGTGCCTGATAGTATTTGCATTAACTTATTAGAAAGATTCCCCAATAACCTCAAATCCACCCTTAAGACTTATGAAGTAGAATGCACAAGTTAACAAGAGTGAATTACAAATCTGGAAAGGCTGACTGGCATATCAACACTATTTAAAAATCATAAATTACAAAAGAGTTATTATGTGTATTTATCATATTCCAAGTTGAAATATATTGTAAATCCAGGGATATCTCAGTGTAACAATTACATTTTTCCTTTCCTCATCTATTAACTGTTCAATTTTTGTTCAGTAAACCAAGAGATGTTTAATATCAATGAACTTGAATGAGAGATCCACTCCAGGCAGGATAATGCATTCATGTTCATTTATGCTGTCAATAACATTTAGACAAAATCACTTTTATCAGAGGGAGTGAGATCGCCCAACAGCCTTTTTTATCTAATCTTTTCCTCCTGCTTTTGCAGATGATTTTAAAGGAATGCCATGCAAAAGAACACCGAAATAATATGAAAATACCATTTTGACAAAGTAGAAGTCAATGCTTTTTCTTCAAGACATATACTGTAGAAAACTTAAAATCTATTTCAGTCTCATGCTCATAGATTAGACAAAATGTGGTACATACAGTTTTAGAAACCTATTGTGAGAGCAAATATGTACATAAGGGCAAAGCACACCTAGAACCTTAGTAGTCACTCCACACAGAGGAAGGCATTGTTTATGATCAGGTTCACACAACATCACTGTGCTTGGATGGAGCGATTGCCTTGGTAACAGCAGGACGTCTTTGAAAGCACAGCTGAACTTACTGTATGTCCCTTTTCTAACAACTTAGGATTCAAGCATAGCGTTACTGTGTGGGGTTATTCACACACATTGTTTGGAAGTGCATGAGTAAGTACAGTATAAGCAAGAACAGGGATAATAACCACCACAGGTTTCCATTAAGGCAGCAAAGCTTTCCAAGCGGTTATACTGCAATTGCATAGCTAGTGCCACAACTAAGACATTGTTACCGTTCTGTTATTAATCTATGCAAGATGCGCCTTTCAGGAAGACATCTGATCTTGCAAAGCTATTTATATGTACAGTATAACACTTTTATGCAATACAGTATGTGTGCATAACATTTTGAATCTATCTCATAAATGACAAATTTATGACTCAGTGCATGATGGTGTGATGTGGTAATGAGAAAGCTGACAAAAGCTATGGAGGGAGAAAGGTTCTGTTTTACTTCCAGCTCCAACATGGGTTGGGTTGAGATGGATGAGAATTTTCCCACCTCCACAATCCGGTCCTGGGGTAACAGGCCGGACTTCTCTGCAGGAGAATCTGGATCCACGGCTCTGATATACTGTCCCGGTTTGGATTTCTCGCTGTGTAGGTTGAAGCCATAGCCAGAGACGCCTTTCTTGATTTTGCAAAGCCGAGGACGGAGTTCAGTCTTAGATTCCTATAGAGATAAGAAAACAAATAAAGAAATCAGACCTTGACTCATGACTTAACGTGGTACAGTACAGACCTATCAGGAGAGGGCATTTCAGAACAAGGTTTGGTTTTGACAAGATAAAAGCCATGATCTTCTGAACTCTTCTGACGATGTACCTTAAAAAGTAGTATTAAATAAAGAGAAGTCACCTTCCAAATACAAATACAGAAAAGGCTGAATAACCACAGGACAAACCGCAAAAATTGAGGTGTCTGTCAAAAGAATCAGCGATGCATAATTAAATCTCATACTCAATATTCTTTAGAATAGTAGCTATTTAAAATTCGGCTTTTATGCAAAACCAAACTTACATTGGCCTAAAAGGTGAAGGATAAAGCAGTTCCATCACCAACCATCAGAACGCTGCTTATTCAGGGTAAGAGTTGAGACTACCCCTGAAGGATAGGGCAAAAAAAGGGGTTATGCCATGGAGAGGCGCACCCATTGTAGGGCACATGCAGACACGCAGGGACAACCTTAGGGACGCCAACAGTTAATTGGGAGGTAGGAGGAAACCAGTAAACCTGAAGAAAATACAAATTTCACGAAGAAGGCACCTCAGTCCAGAATCAAACCCAGGATCAAAGAGGTATGAGGCAGCAGCTCTGACTACTGCTGCGCCACCAAAGATCCAATTTAAACCAACAAAAATCTTATAGAACACACCACTGTAAAGACTGGGGAACGTGTTCTCTGCATGTGAGAGTAATTATCGATGATGTTTAGTCTGCTTCCCATAAGAAAACAGGTATTAAAACCTAAAAGCTTTTGATGTAGAAAAAACTGATGCACAGATATAGATATATATAGATATAAAGTATACTGAATCTGTAGTGATGCCACTTAAAACATATTTACACAGACAAATGAAATTCTGGAACTAAAATGACAAAACACTGGAAATAAATCCTTGAAACTACCAAGATGGCTGCCTGCCAGCTTCACTTTGCAGTAGGTTTTTTTAAAAACCTCATTCCTGGAACTAAATGACAAAGCCCTTAATCTTAAATAAAAAAATAAAAATGTCAAGTTTGTCTGGATTTCCTGTTATAGTTGACTAGTATGTGGTTTGTGCCAGACGTGGGTAGCAAAGAGTTGGTGTTTCGAGCTGGGTCATGCGTGCTTTAGCTAGTGATCAGCTTCACATCTTCTCCTTCTTTCTCTGTGCCAAACAGGGCACTCATTCACAATACTTATTAGTAATTCCCTCACACTGTAAAGCTGCCCCCACTATTCCAAAACATTTTCTGCTGACTCAATGGCCGATGGAGGCCTCCAATGTTTTCTTTCGTTTCCAGTAATCAAAAGACACTTGTATGACGAACTCAAGTGTTATTAGAGCTGGAGACAGCAGCAAGCCATAGTTTGTTTACTGGAGGAAAGACACAGATGGAGGAGCAGCTGCAAGGTAAGACTTCAGCCTTCAACACTGGCACAATGAGTGTTTCAGAGCGAACTGTTGTGGGCTTTTCTCTCCCATTAAACACAGACAACAGCATTCCAAATTGTTATTGGGGGAAACTGTTTCAACTGGGGGCTAAAATACCTCTGCTAGTCTATTATTTTGGGAAACAAGAGGTTGCGTTGTCAACAGACTTACCTGTGGATCACTCTGAGGCCAGAAGAATACATATACAAAGGGAAATTGAGCCTTCTTCACAATACATGAACATGTGATGCACATTGTAGATAATGTATATTAATTCTCCACTCTGCATCCACTTCCCATTTGTATAACAGACCCCCTCCTAAACAAAAATCCTGCCATGATTACAATGAAAATACAATTCTAAAAGCACAATTGACTGCATTTTATACAGCTCTTTTCATCCCCAAGGGTTTATGTATAGGAGGGGACCCACTTCATCCACTACTGAAGTACAACGCCAATCTGGGTGACAAGGCAAACATTACATACTGTATCAGCATTTACACTACACAGTGACTGAATGGAGAAGTGAATGATTAGGCTTTCACACAAACTGAATAAAAAGAACAAAGAGAAAAAAGGATAACTTTAGGTAGGCAAGAGTGAAATCTAGCCTGAACACCTGAGTTGAAACTCTTACACAAAAGGTGCCACTGGATCACTAATGGCCAGGCAGTCAGGATGTAACTTCAATATCTTAACTTATACAGCACAATGTCCCTCGCCATCATACCAAGACATTAATGATGACAAGTCTGGAGTGTAAAGTGCATCATTCATGGCAGCAATCTGAATTTCTTTGGAAGTTTACTACCCCAGTATTGAGCCAGCCCAGTCGTTCTTAGGTACAGTAGATGAGGAAAAGGACAAGAGAACCCTTTTATTTTTTGTGAAACATGTCTCAATGTTATACATTAGTATTTGGTATACAACTACTAATGGTTCAATATACTGAAGGAACAGCTTTGCCAGCTTAGAAAACGCTAGAGGTTAAAACATTTGGCCAAAGACTGCTAAAGGAGTTAAATCAGGTCATGCAACCTGGTAGGGCAATGGAAGATGATGGATGGAGAAGTCTCCTGTTCTTTAAATAGCCAAGACAGGTTCCTGTCTGCGTTAGGGAGTCTTCAATCATCCAGCTACTGTGAAGCCTGGGTGTGAGTTTTCCGTCTCTCTATTGAACAATCCTCTTATCACAAGCTGCCACCACCTTCCACCTAATTTCATAAGACAGGTTTTTCACCATGCTTACGGTTTGATCTAATTTAAGTACTCTTGTAATCTACAGAAACACCAGCAATAAGGATCAGAAATTCCTCTCATTCCAGTAAGGGTGTGGCAGGAAAAACAGAGATGTTCTTCCGATCCTAGTGCACGCCTCTGCGTCATTCTTCAAAATAAAAATCAATCCCATTTAGCTTCAGCATTATTTTCATTTTTTTTTAATTCCTGGGAATGTCGCCTACAGTACATACAAAGCAATGCATGTAACCAGAGGAGTATGAAGACTAAAAAACAAAGAATAGAAAGCCACAGGTTTTAGAGTCCCAGCCCTGTTACTCACACGGTGGCGTGTAGTTAATCAATTCACGAATATCATCAGCATCCACAACATGAACAGGCAGTCTGCATCCCTACAATGGTATTTGTGTAAAAAGGCCCCTCCTCTTCTCAGACTTGAATCTGTAGTTATTTGATTCTTCTACATTTCAGGATATTCTTCAACCATATCAGTCATTTGATCATACATAAAAAGATCATGACACTGAAGTATCATAGTAAACTAAAGGGCATTTTTTCCTGCTCATTTAGACTTAAATGATCTTATTAGCTTTATTGTAAAATGTAATGTATCCCCATAAGTGCAATAAGACTTAAGAAGAGAGCCTGAGCACCTGTGCTTCAGTAGCTGAAACACACTACATGGTATCCTAGTGCTTACTTCAACTCTAACATAGTATTGAGCTACCAAACCAATGGGTTTTCAGATCAGAAATCAGTGTCTGTTTTAACAAACAGAAGGTAAATAAATCTACACATCCAGACTCACCCTATATAAGGGTAACTTAAGGATTCAAAAGATTATCTGAGGTTCAAATGCAAGAAAGAACATGTTAATTTTAAACAACCATTAATAAAAAAAATTGGAACCTTAAAGCTCTCAATTAGCAACAGGACATAAAAAGAAATTTGTCCATTTCCCACAGATTGCCTAAAATAAACCCTGGAAATGTGTTCTCTTTCCTACAGGGCTCCACCTACTTCTTGTTTTCCAACAATTGTATGAAGACTGTGGAAAAAATGCTGGAAAAACTCTCTGCCTTACATCTTTAAGGCAATACAATAATAACACAAAACCATGAAAGATATTTGCTGCAGTTCAGTGAAAACAAAATCACCATTTTGGCTTTAAGACTAAAGTGTCTCATTTTAAGTCCCCTAAATGTGATTGCAGCTCCTTAAGGTTTATTGAAATGAACTTTAACCAGGATATGCAGCCAATAAATCCCGAGCCAGCATCCTCCCTCTAACCTCTGAGCTGAACAACCCCTCTCTCAGTGGTAATAGCTAAACATCAACTGCCCTGCCTGCCTGCTCCAATCACTGCCCACACTGCCTCCAAGTCTGTCAGCTGTAACAGACATTTCCTGTTTCCAAGTCCTCAGTAAGACCACAGTTTCTCTCCATCTCATCAGCCCTGTGCCCCAGATGTAATGCTTGGCTCCCAGGCACTCAGCTAGTTCAGCTGTGCTACTGCTTTCAAATTACCCCTTTACTTCTATTCAGCCAAGCCACTCTGCACCCCCTGCACTGCCAGATGTACTTGTTTGGGCCAAACCTTACTGGAGCTTTAATTAACTTCAGCCCTATCCTTAACCACCAGGCCTAATGACCTCCCACTACCTCAGCCCAAGCAGAGCCAGGGCTGTCAGTCTTCTTCCCAGACCCTGTGAATGACTCTCACTGCTTGACTAAATAAATCCCTGCCCATACCACTGGAGGCAGCACTCCTGCACCACCCAGCCCCAAGAACAAGGGCAAATCGCCTGCCGGCTTCGTACCTACTGTGCTCTGCCATGGCACAATGAGCAAAACCTGAGCTTCCTTCAAGTTGAGAAAATATTTTGCCAAGTTCTGAAGAAAACATTAAGAGGACAATAGAGCATAACCAAAAAACAAGGGTTTCTGGTAGCAGATCGTTACGCAGATACATCCAGGAAGAAGATATTCAAATATTACAAGTACAAACGACAACAGCTGGGAGGGAATTATAAAAATGGCAGGGCTCTGTACACATTTTGTGTATGTTTACCCAAAGATTTAACTTCTGTCTCAAGTCACAAGAGTGAGACAGATTGAAAAGTGTTTAACTAGAGAAACTACAGTACTAGAATCTCTGTATAAAAGGCAAAAGGTCTCCCACTTTAAATGCAGGAATGCAGCAGATTCTCTATAGAAGGAGCTGAATTCTGTGCGGGAGGGGAGCAGCTACACTACACAGCTGATCGGGACGCTTCCAAACTATTTGCTCTTT